GGTGACTTGAAAGTCACACAGGGTGTATGTGTGTGAATGTCCAAAACTCCAGGAGGAAAATGGACGAGAAGGGGTTGTGGTGTGCCATCCCTGCTGGGGGCTGATTTCTCACTTTCCATCTCACTGTCTCTCTCTAGCAAACACAGGAGCCCTGTGGCAAAATCCTTAAAACACACAAACACAACTTTCCCAGTAATGCTGATGTGTAACCTCATTTCCCATTAGATTTCTGTCTCCTTATGGCATTTACCCCTCCCTATTTTTGTATGATAAGTGTTTTCTATGTTTTATTTTCTCTCTTCACCTCTCTGTTCCCTGGTTTAGTAACCCTGCCTTCCTTGTTTCTGTGCCTTTCATGAACACATGAATTGGTCATCAGGAAAAGATTCTTGGCCACGCAGGTGATGTCCTGAGTCTCAGAATCACATGTTAATCCTGTAGTCTTTGTTCTCTATGAGGTCAGCGGTTGCTTGTGATGAAGGCGTGAGTAAACCCTGCTGCAGCTAGTGGAGAGAAGATCACCCCTTTGGTATTCATTATTAGACAAAGTATAGGGACCAAGAATTAAATGTGTTTATAGGGAGGAACAGATAGGAAGACAAATCTAATGAAAATGGAGGAATTATACTAGGGAATAGTGGTAAAGAAAGTAAGAAAGATTAGTAAAGGAAAGGAGTTGTAACCTATTAATAGGCGAGAGTAAGCCACTGTAGACTCTTGGGCAGGAGAAAACTAGTTGTCAAGAAGGTGGTGAGACCATAGTACGCAGGGAGGATTTCAATGGAGAAACCCCAGACAAGAAAAACAGTACTTTGGGCAGTGATGGAGGGCCTGGGTTCATTAGGTTTATGGGAATAGAGAGAATTACATGACTGAGAGATGTTTGTTTTTTTTTGGAGAGGTTTTTGCTATAGGGTACGTGCACGCTCTAGAAAGACAGACAGAGACAGAGAGACAGAAAGTGAAAAATCACCCCCCAGGGAGGATGGCCATGCCACAATCCCTTCTCCTCTATTTTCTTCTTGGGATCTTGGGCATGCATGCCCACGCGCCCAGTGTGAGTTTAAGCCACTGGGTCTGGGACTCGAACTGCAGTCGACATAGCCATTATGCTAAGTGCTGGTCCCACTGAGAGGTGTTTTTAAATCAACTGGCTCTGATGGTGTATTGAACCAAATGAGCAGGGGCTGGGAAAAGTTTGGTGACGCCGCTGAGAGAAATGAATGAGCTGCATGGAAGAGCCAGTTCAGAAGAGTAATCTCAGAAGCTGTTTGGATATGAGCGTCAAGGGTTCTGGGAAGCAGCAGAGTACAGAGAGGTCATTAAAGCTGAGGAAGGGAGATGGTGGAGGGAGACAAGCTGGGTCTGAGCACTAAATCTGGTGTGGGGTACAATATAGAAGGAGGAGAATACCCTAGTAGGAAAATGTTTTCTCCAGACCTAGATGTTATAAAAGTGAAAAGTGTGAGGAGAGTGAAAATAACTGGATTTGGCTAAGAGATGGATACTGATTTTATGTTGCTGCCGGTGGTCTCAGATATGAGGGCACTATTGTAGAGGGCCAAGGGAAATTAGGTGATGAGGAAAAATAAAGGTAGCACATATCTCGTAATTGCCTGGAAGTAAATGAGCTAACAGTATTTAGAATGAATAAATGAAGGTTATTCCAGTTAGAAGAGGTTTGATCCTCTGAGAGGACAGAAAAGAAGACTTGATAACAAGGAAGAGCTAGAAAATGCTGGAGAAATTTCATTCTTTTTAATTTCCAGAGGATGTGTGTGCTTGCCAAAGAGAGACAGACAGGGAGAAAGAGAGAGAGAGGGAGAGAGAGGGAGAGAGAGGGAGAGAGAGAGAGAGAAACACCCCTCTATGGGGGCATGGTCACCCTGCAATCTATTCTCCATTTTTTCATCCTGTTGGGATTTGGGGTACCCCTACCCCAATTGCCCGTCATGTTTTCCAAGCTGCTGGGGCTGGGATTGAACTGAGGTCAGGCACAAGGTATCTGGCTCCCTTAGCCACTTTGGTTGCAGAACCTGGCCAGTTTCTATGTGATGGGAACCTATAGGAACCCTTTGAGTGAGAGCTGCATTGTTACATCTGATTCACTGGAACCACTTGTGTGGGAAGTGTTATTTGCCCCTATTGAGGCCGTCAGGAGATCTTTTACTCATGAAATCATCTTCCCCCCAGAGGAAGATAAGCTGTTCCTTCCAAACAAGTTGGGGTTGTGGTCTGTTGCTCCCAGGTAGACTCACTTTGTTATCAGGTGTGCAAATAAATTAAGCTAATACTCTAATCACTAGATTAAACATCTGTAGGCTTAGAATTTGGTTTACTCTGGCTCCTCATTAGACAACTTTCTTCTATAGAGAAGACATTATCAAAAAGAGTATCAGGCCTTGCCTTGGTGGCCCAGGTGTTAAGCGTACTGAGCTGCAGTGTCAAAAGTCACATGGCCAGCTGTGGGTTTGGATCCCTAGTCAACCTGGAAACATGCCAAGTGTGAACACAACCAAGATCCTCGTGAGCTGGAGAGCTGGAGGAAAGGATTGCAGTATGACAAGGCCTTGTCAAGGGTGCTTATCTCTCTCCCTTTCTCTTTTTCTTGTATGCACACACATGCACTCTCTCTCATGAATAAAATAAAAAAAATTAAGAAGTAGTTATCAGGACCAGCAGATGGCATAATGGTTATGTTGTTGGACTCCCACATAGTCGACCTTCGTTTGAGTCCTGGAACTGGCTGCTTACAACTCAACGCTGGGCATGTGTGTGTGTGTGTGCATGCCCAAAATCCCAAGAGGAGACTGGAGGAGAAGGGATTGGCCATCTCCTCTGGGGGCGGGGGTGTGATTTCTCGCTTTCTGTCTCTCTCTCTCCAGCAAGTAGTTGCCCTATAGCAAAAATCTCTTTCGCTCTTTAAAAAAAAAAAAAAAAGTAGTTATCAACCACAAGGCAGCATGTTGATGTTCAACATATAATTTTTATTATAAATATAGAGCAATTTTTACAAATAATTCAGAAGTGGCCTTAACCAGGCAAAATTAAATTAACACAACCACAGCATGGATGAAGGGAAGTATATACAGTGTGTGTCAAGGTTAGAAAACCCTGAAAGATGTACCCTGAGTATGGAGAACTCCCAACTAACTCTCTTGGGGGAGGCCTCTTAGGCATAGCATGAGATAAGTAGTCAGCACAGAATGCAACCTTTCTCTTAACAGCCCAAAAGAAAGATTCCATCTGTGCAGAAGCCTGAGCGAGAATGGATGAAGGGAAGTATATACAGTGTGTGTCAAGGTTAGAAAACCCTGAAAGATGTACCCTGAGTATGGAGAACTCCCAACTAACTCTCTTGGGGGAGGCCTCTTAGGCATAGCATGAGATAAGTAGTCAGCACAGAATGCAACCTTTCTCTTAACAGCCCAAAAGAAAGATTCCATCTGTGCAGAAGCCTGAGTGAGAACATCTGTCTCTCCTCCTGTTCTTTCTTTTGATTCTAAGACACATTGGCAATCATAGACCCCATGGGAGAGAAAAAACTTCAGACAGTGCTCAAAAAGCCTAGGGCAGAGTTGTAACCCCCCTCTCATGTCCTAGCACCTTCTCATAGCACTGTGTCCCAAGGGCATCAGCACCATTGCAGTTTTCCATGTTGTTGTCAATGTTGGCAGCATGAGTGACAGTGTTCCCTTTCGGCGGCTCCCACTTCCCAGGGATCAAACATCCCTTAAAAGAGGTCAAGTGTTCCTGAGAAAGTGAGTAGGGCAGACAGAAAGTGCACAGGCAGAAACATGCAATAGACCAGTAGTTAGTGAGTGATCTGAGATGACTGGAAACTGAATTAGATCCATTTCTAGCCATGAATGAGGAAAACTTCTTATTTTCTCTTTAGAGCTCTTGACAACAAAGCCTGGAGAGACTCCTGGCCGTTGGAGACCTGAGATTTTGGTGACTTCTTTCACTGAAGGCAATCAGATTGGCTCTCACAGCTAAGCTAAGTGGAAATAGTCCCTTTCACATACATAAGCAGTGACAACAATTAAAACAGCCACGTGTCTCAGAAAAAAAAGGGGGGAAATCCAACACCACAAATTGTGCATTCTTTAACAATAATTTAATGAATGTCTGAAGGGCAGCTCTCTGATTCCTAAGTTCCCAGCAGATTGTGCCTATTAAAACCTGACTTCCTGCTAAAGCTGTCATCGCTTCCCCCCGCCACACACACACTCTGAGAACTTCCCTGAATAAAGCCCATGGAGATATCAAAATGGAGCAGCGCATTTGCATTTTCCAGTAGGTATTCCTATGGACCTTGGACCTAGTTGTTTTTAGTGGGTTCTCTGGAGACAGGCTTGCCAAAGGGCTTAGGTAGGATTCTAGCTGAGCGGCAAAGCGTCTAGGCCCTGATCTTTGTCCACTGTCAGGAAGACAACTCTGATAGTAGACAAAGGCATCGGATTTCTCAGTTCACAGCTGGTTTCATATTTGATATTTCAGCATATGGTGTGTTCACATCCGGCTCTGGAGAGTTAGGAGAAGCCATTATTGCTTTTACTTTCTCTCTCTCTCTCTCTCTCTCTCTCTTTTTTTTCCTTTTCTGGCACATGTACTTCACTAGAAAAGAGATAATGTTCAGATTACGACAAATTCAAGGTAGACCCTGATAGGACACGATTGGGGTGGGAAGGGGTGGCAACACTCCGAATAGGTAAGTTTAAAACGCATCTAGGTGGAAAAAAGAGGAGGGGTGAGAAGGGGTGGCAACTCTGTGCCAAAGTCAACATTGCCAAATTTCAATAAAGGAGGTTGGTTTTCTACACACTCTTGTTTCTTTCCATCTATTGACATCGTCCAGGTAGCTTGGATGTGCCACATTAGGGAGTAAAGAGTGGGAGGACCTCCTCCATTTTCCTCTAAGAGTAAAGAGATCTCCTAGTGATGGCAGTGAGAGACGGAATACACCAGCAGTGCAGTGATCAGGGCAGGTTGCATTACTTCTTTTTTACTTCTGAATAAATAGTTTCTGTGGCTGTCGAGGAAGGAGATAAAGTCGGCTGTGTTGATTTCTGGGCGTCGAAGTTCAGGGAAGAATATGCAACGTCATCCGTCTGAAAAGCATAAGCAAAGGCCAATTTAGTTGTCACAGGTTTGGGCTACACCTTGCCTAGTGTGTCTCAGCACTAAGCGTGCTGTCACTTCTCTTAAACTTATAGCTTTCAAGAAGGACTTTTCTTACCCATCCTCTGTTTGCTAACCTCCTGATGAATGATTATTAGAAGTGATAAATTATGGTGTTCATGCAAGGGAATACGATGATACAGCAATGAGACTGAATAAACTGCAAATACGATATGGATAAATCTCCCAAGAAGCCAGACACACGTAAAGATATGCTGTATTTTTCATGTATGAAAGAGTAGAAACTGGTGAAATCAATCTAAAACATTGGAAGTCAGGAGAGCTTGCATTTTGGAGTAAAGGGACTGGAAGGAATTTTTTATGGAGGGGGATGAAGGGGCGATCATGTAGTATTTCTTTTGTTTCTATGGAGAGTTTTTGCTATGGGGTGTTTGAACTCGCTAGAGAGACAGAGATGGAGAAAGAGAAAGTGAGAAATCATCCCCCCTCCCCCCAGGTGGGATGGCCACGCTGTAATCCTTTCTTCTCTATTCCTCTCCTGGGATCTTGGGCATGCACTCACACACCCACACAGAGTTTGAAAGTATACCTACAACATAAGCACAGTTTGAAAGTATGCTTATGACATAAGCACGTTTCAATATATATGTATGCTCTATTGAAAGGTTAAAATTAGACCGATTCTATAAAATTATTCTAAAATAAAGAAACAGGACCTCAGATCTATTAGAATGAAAATTATTCTTTTTACATTAGGAGCTGGGTCAGATTGAAGGTTGAGGAGGGAGAAAGATTCAGTGCTTTCCTTGCTCCGGCCATTGTGCTGGGTGCTTTATAAAAGTAATCTCATTTAATAACCTCTACTTCTCTGAAGTAGGTAGAACCCCTCTTTATTTATTTATTTATTTATTTTGAGAGTTTTTTTTGCTATAGAGCATGTGTGCTCGCCAGAAAGAGAGAGACAGAGAGACAGAAAGCGAGAAATCACCCCCCAGGGGGTAAGGCCATGATGCAATCCCTTCTCCTCCATTCTCTCAGGATCTTGGGCATGCACGCACACCTGCCTGGCATGAGTTTAAGCCACCAGATCCGGGACTCAAACCATGGTCAACTAGATGGGAGTCTAGCGACATAGCCATTACACTAACTATTGGTCCCTAGAACCCCTCTTTTAACAGATGACAAAGTTGAAGACCAAAGAGATTATATTACTTGCTCAAAGTCACAGGGCTAACAGTCACAGCTAAGATTTAAACAGAGTATGGGAGTAATTCCTAAGTACACTTCCTTGCTACTCACTCGTGCAAGTGATTAATCAATAGTTCTTTGTTGTTGCATTGAGGATCTGAGCCAAACTTGATTTTTTTTTTAAGAATTATTTTATTTTATATTTCATTTATTATTATTAATCTGACCAGAAAGAGACAGAGAGAAAGAAAGTGAGAAAGGAAGCCACTAAGTCTGGGACTCAAACCGTAGTCAGCCATGTGGGAATCCAGTGCCTTAACCACTAAGCCACCTGCCAGCCCCTCCCAAACTTGATCTTACATTTGTGTCTTCAAGAAAAACCCATTCTACACAGAAACATTTCCATAAGAAAGTGAGCCTGGTGAAACTTGCTGTGCTTACCTTGTTAAGTGAGTTATCAGAATGTCCCTGACCTGGGGAAGTAAAAGAAAAGTTATCAGTCCATAGAAATGCAAAGCTTACTTCAAGTCTTGTGATTTCTAGCTGAAGGAGGTAGGAGATGGTAGGGATGGTTGGGGGCCAGGGAGCTGGTGGCTCATGGCCAATTAAGGAATTCCTTTCCCCCAGAGTCTTTGGTCCAGACCCCAGTGCATTAGTATCACAGGATAGGCAGGGGGCAAAGCTATAGGAGGTCTCAAGCCATTTCTAAAGATATCTCTACCAGTTCACAACGTCCCGAGTTTTGCCCAGATGTTTCTCAGCAACATGCTCTAGTGGCAAGGATGGACATTGAGGCCACAGCACCCAGAGCACCACAAGACAAAGAAAGTCTCACCAAGGGAGGATGCCCACATCCATAATGTGGTAGGAGGGGGAAGGAACAAGCAAGAGGAAATGGCTCCCCAAAACATGTGATCTTACTCAGGCCTGCCTGGCCTAGGTGATGGTGTGAGCCTCTTTCTTAGGACTGTGTTTCAGGGAACTCTTTTGTGACTTGGAAGGGTGTGAGGACCTATGCCAACCCAGGGTTGGGAAATGGCGATTCCCTCTGTAAAAACTCAGAAGGTAGGGAGTGTTTTGGGAATCCAGGATTCTCTGCCAGGGCAGGACACGTGTTGGAACATACCAGTTCTCATTGGGTGAGTAGCTTTACTTACTGTTGTTGGAGTCTGAGGGTTTGTGCTCTGTGAGATGGTGCTGGTCGCTTGCCCTAAATAAATATCAGACACTGTGACTGCTATTCCCAAGCACAAGATTTTTGTTCTCGAGTTAAAAAAGACCGTCAGTAGATAATTTCTTTGGGCTCATTGATGTTTGTACCATATACTATGGTTGGGACTGCCTTTCTGCAAAGGGTTAATTCTTCAATCTAACTATGATTCCTTCTAGTGTCTACTCTTCCTGTTTTCTAGAAGTTCACATTTTGGTCCATTCTTCATTGACTACTTCTGCATCTACTTCTAGCTTAAGACTTTCCCATTTTGTTTTCTGGGGTAAATTTCCCCCTACCTGTTTTTCCTCTCTCTCTTGCTTAATTTCTTGTCCAAAAAGACTGGTTGTTCCTGCTTTCTCTGAGATTTTATTCCTGAGCTATCCCTCCCTCCTCTTGCTGCTGTAGTTAGCAGAGCACGCGACTCACTTTCTCTTGCTGCTCCTTTCATTTTCTCATTTGTTTTCCTTCTTGGACCTTGGCTTCCCTGACTGGGACAGAGGAATACAACTGATCCTGTTCCTGTAGACTAGTCGGGGATGGGAATAACCATGTCCAAGGGATATTAGGGTATATGGAGCATGAAGACCAGGGAAGAAGAGACCCATAAGAATTAGTGCTGAGAAGCAGGAGTCTAGGAAGGAGGAGAAGGCGCTCCAGTCCCGGAGATGGAAGTGAAATCTTATCCCTCTCCCAAGCATGGCAATTAGCTTTGGAGAAAACGGAACAAGAGGAAAGGCCATCATACCCTCTAGTTTTCTTGAAAAAGAGACAGTACACCAGGCCTGCTATCAGAGCCACGCCGGCTAGTACTCCAATCACGATGCCAGCAATGGCCCCATCTGAGAGGCCATTGTCTGGTTTTGGATTACCTGTCAGGAAGAGAAAAGAGAAGATTAAAAGAAGAAATTAGTTTATAGTGGGGTGCCCTGGGAATCAACTGTCAGCTTGAAATAGTCTCTACTTTTTCCTTCAAAGAATACATTTCTTGTGGGAAGGTTGCTGTGAAGTGATTAGTCAACTATGTCCTTTGAATTTTTTTTCTTTCATATTTCTGGTTGATTGATTCCATTTTGTCCTTTCTGCATTCTATCCTGTCTTTCTGCTATATAGCTAGATAATATAATATAAAAATTATATATATTTATGTAATATATGAAGTGTATATTTATAATTATATACTCATATGTTATCTAATATTTTAATGTATTTATACATAAATATATATTTTAAAAACATAACAATTTATAAAAACACAAACACATAATTCGTCATATAATTAGATATAATTTACTATATAATTATATATAAAGTTACATATTTATTTTAGAGAAAGAGAAAGAGAGAGAGAGAACCCTTCAGTGGGTGACCAATTGGATTTGGTCATGGTGCAATCTCCTCCTCCATTTCTCTATCCTGTCAAGATTTTGGGTGCACAAACACGTGTACCTGGCATGTTTTTCAAGCTGCCAGGGCCAGGATTTGAACTGCTGTTGGCCTATGGGGTCTGGCTTCCTTAACCACCAGGCTGCAGAACTAGCCTAGTTGGATATTTGAAGATTTTGTAAGTGTAAGAAAGGCTAATTGTTATTTTTATATGTTATAACTTTCTGTCTCTTCATGTTGCATCTTTTTCTCAGCATCCCAGTTGTGGCAGTTGGGTCTCCTATGGCAGAGACTTAGCTGACAGAAGGCCCAGGCTAGTGCTTTCTGAATTTACCAACTTGTTTGTACAGATTTCACACTTCCCACCAACTTCCAGCAGTGAAACCAAAGTGAGCCAAATTCTGTGAGATACAATTTTCCTCTGATAGATTCATTTGGCTCAACTCCTCATCAGCCTTGAAGAAACTCTCTTAGCACTGCATTGTAAGCTAAAATTTCTTTTCTTCCATTCCTTTCCAAAGGCATTAGATCTGCATTGTGGTCTGAGGACTCTCCCAGGCTTTCCCTCACAGGTGTTTTCCCTAGTAAATATCTTGAATGTCTAATTTCATTTTGACTCCATCTCAAGAGATGAAAACCAACATACCAGGCTTGAAACTTTGCATGTAACTAATTTTTTTCCCACACACACATATATAATGCCTCCTTCCCCACTCCTTGTATAATACCTTTTTCATTTGGTTCTTCATTTCTGTTGTACCCATTTAGAGTTTAGCCCTCATCAGTCAACCTAAGACTGATAATTAATGTTAATATTAACTACTGATATAGGGTACTTGCTATGTGCCAGGTCCTGTGTTAAACTGCTTTATATGTATCTCATTTGACCCATACAATAACTCTGTCAGGTAGACATTATTTATACTTTATACATGAAAAAACTGAATCTTAGAGTGGTGGGAAAACTTACTCAAAGTCATACAGCTACTAAGAAGTGGATCTGAGGATACACACTACATATCCCTGCTCATTACGTACCAGATGTCTGCATTCTATGGCAGAAATGGAAAGATCCAAAGATATGGCAGTAGGAAGGATAAGCGTAGCTACCAGAGATCCACGTAGATACATGCTTGTGTGCATGCATACCCCAAATCCAGACAAGATGGGGAAATGGAGGAGAAGGGGTTGCAGTATGACCACGCTCCATTGGGAGGTGCTTTCTCCCCTTTCTTCTCTGACTCTGTCTCTCTCTGGTAACCACACATACTCTTTGGGAATTAATAAAAATGAAAAAAGATCACAAATGAACAACCTAACTTAACTTAAGAATGTAGAAAAAAAAAACAACTAAAGCCAAAGCTAGTGGAAGGAAGGAAATAATAAAAATGAAAGTGGAGATAAATAAAATGGAGAATAGAAAAACAATAGAGAAAATCAATGAAGCTGAAAGTTGGTTCTTCAAAGGAGCTCAGCAAACCTTTAATTAGACAATTAAACTTAAATTAGATTGACTAGGGAACCAGCAGTTAGCGTAATGGCTATGTTGCTGGACTCCCATGTAGTCGACCGCGGTTCGCGTCCCGGACCCGGTGGCTTAAACCTCACGCCGGGTGCATGTGCGTGTGTGCCCAAGATCCCGAGAGGAGAATGGAGGAGAAGGGATTGTGGCATGACCATCCCTCCTTGGGGGTGATTTCTTGCTTTCTGTCTCTCTGTCTCTCTCTGTCTGTCTGGTGAGCGCACACGCCCTATAGCAAAAACCTCTCCAAAAAAAAAAAAACAAAAAATCTAGATTGACTAAAAAAATGAAAGTGGAGACATTACTACCAATTCTGTAGTAATAGTAAGGGTCATAAGACTACTATTAATAATTGTATGCCAAAAAATGAGATAACCTAGATTAAGTGGACAAATTTCTAGGAACATAAAACTTACCAAGATGGAACCATGAACAAATAGAAAATCTGAATAGTAAGGAAATTTAATCAGTAAAAGTATTTCTCAAAATTAAACATCTTTAATGATAAAAACACTCAACAAATGAGGAATAGAAGGAAACTACATCAACATAATAAAGGCCATAGATGAAAAATCCAGAGCTAGTATCACACTCAGTGATGAAAGACTGAAAGCTTTTCATCAAAGATCAGGAAAAGACAAGGATGCTGACTTCTGCCACTTCTCTTTAACACAGTACTAGAAGTCCTAGCTGAAGCAATTAGGTAAGATAAAGAAATAAAAGTTGTCAAAACTGGAAAGAATGAAAGTCATTTGTGTTCACAGATGATTTGGATTTATATGTAGAAAGTCCTAAAGAGTCCACAAAGAACTGTTAGAAGTAATAAACAAGTTCAGCAAAATTGCAGATTATACTTTTTTTTTTTTTTTGGAGAGGTTTTTGCTATAGGGCACGTGCACTCGCCAGAAAGACAGAGAGAGACAGAGAGACAGAAAGTGAGAAGTCACCCCCCAGGAGGGAAGGCCATGCCACAATTCCTTCTCCTCATTTTCCTCTTGAGAGCTTTGGCACACCTGCACATGCGTCTGACATGAGTTTAAGCCACCAGGTCTGGGACTTGAACCGCGGTCAACTACATGAGAGTCCAGCAAGGTAGCCATTATGCCATCTGCTGGTTCCAGATTATAAACTTAACGTGCAAAAAGAGGTTATACTTCTATATGCCAATAATGACCAATCCAAAAGGAAGTTAAATTTATAATAGTATCAAAAAGAATAAAATACTTAGGAATTAATTTAACCAGAGGTGAAAATATATATATTGAAAACTACAAAACATTGCTAAAGAAATTAAAGAACACATAAATAAATGGAAAGACATCCTATGTTCATGGGTTGGAAGACTTAATATACTTTTTTCTAAGAGAGATTTTTGCTGTAGGGTGTGTGTGCTCACCAGAAAGAGACACACACAGAGACAGACAGAGAGACAGAAAGAGAGAAATCACCCCCCGGGGGGATGCCCACGCTGCAGTCCCTTCTCCTTCATTCTCCTCTCGGAATCTTGGGCACGCATGCACATGTGCCTGGTGTGAGTTTAAGCCACTGGGTTTGGGACGCGAACCGCAGTCGACTACATGGGAGTCTAGCAACATAGCCATTATGGTCCCCCTGATTTTTAAAAAATAATTAATTTTGTCCATTTGTATTTATTCATTCACTTATTTTAGTTTGACCAGAGAGAGACAGAGAGAGAGAGACAGAGAGAGAGAGAGAGAAGAAGAAAGTGAGAAAGCAAGCCACCAAGTCCAGGACTTGAACCATGGTCGGTATGTGGGAGTGTCCAGCGCCTTAACCACCATGCCACTTGCCAGTCCCCTGAGCCCACTGATTTTTTTTTTTTTTTTTAAAGATTTTTGCTATAGGGTGCGTGCACTCGCCAGAAAGACAAAGAGAGACAGAAAGTGAGAAATCACTCCCCAGGGGGGATGGCCATGCCTCAATGCCTTCTCCTCCATTCTCCTCTCGCCTGGCGTGAATTTAAGCCGCCAGGTCCGGGGCTCGAACCACAGTCGACTACATGGGAGTCCAGTGACATAGCCATTATGCTAACTGCTGGTCCCAAGCCTACTGATTTTTATCAAGATTTCCAAGACTACTTAATGGGGAAAGAAGAATATTTTTAACAAATGGTCTTGGGAAAACTGGATATCCATATAAAAGGATGAAATGGAACACTTACCTAACACCCTATGCAAAAGTTAGCTCAAAACAGATCAAAGACCTAAATATAAGCGCCAACTATAAAACCCTTAGAAGAAAACATAGGTCAAAATCTTCATGACATTGGATTTGGTAGTGATTTCTTCAATATGACACCAAAAGCACAGGCAACAAAAGAGAAAAGAGAGAAAATGGATTTCATCATAAATAAATGTCTGCTCATTTAAGAACACAACAGCAGATTAAAAATGTAGGAAAAGGAGAAAATATGTTCAAGTTATATATTTGATAAGGGCATAATATCCAGAATATATAAAGAACTATTAAACTCAAGAACAACAAAAACAAGCAACTCGATGAAAAGATAGACAAAGGACTTGAAATAGATATTTCTCTGAAGAAGGTATATATATGATTTGCCAACACACACATGAAAAGATACTTAACATCACCATTCATTATAGAAATGCAAATTAAAATCAGTGAGGCACCATCTCATAGCCATTAGGATGGTTATTATAAAAAACAAAACAAAACAAAAAAACACCTCAGAAAACAAAAAGTCTTGGCAAAGATTGGAGAAATTGAAGCCCTTGTGCATTGCTGGTGGGAACGCAATGGTGTAGCCACTGTGGAACCTAGTATGGTGATTCTTCCAAAAATGGACTCCGCCTCTGTGGCACAGTAGGTAGCACACTGGACGGTAGAGCTGGAAGCCCCATGTCACCAGCAGTTTGAGTCCCCAGCCCTGAGGGACTGAGCTGGAAACATGCTGGACTGGACATGAGCATGTATGCTTAGGATCCTGGTGGGCTGGAAGATGAGGAAGGGGATTGTGGCATGATCGAGCCCTGAGGAGGGTGCTTCTCTTCTCTCTCTTGCATATGTGCACTTTACTTTTAAAAAATGGAAGAATTATCATATGAACTAGCAATTCTACTTCTCAGTATATACACAAAAGAATTGAAAGAAGGGATTTGAAACAGATATTTGGGCACCCATGTTCATAGTAACGTTATTCATAGTAGCGAAGAGGTGGGAACAAGCCAAAAGCCTATTGACAGTGAATGATAACAAAATGTGGTAGTACAGACAATGGAAGATTATTAAGAAGGAATAAGGGAACCAGCAGTTAGCATAATGGCTATGTCGCTGGACTCCCACGTAGTCGACCACAGTTCACGTCCCGGACCCGGTGGCTTAAAACTCACGCCGGGCGCGTGTGCGTGCGTGCCCAAGATCCCGAGAGGAGAATGGAGGAGAAGGGATTGCGGCGTGACCATCCCCCCTGGGGGGTGATTTCTCACTTTCTGTCTCTATGTCTCTCTCTGTCTGTCTGGCGAGCGCACGCGCCCTACAGTGAAAATCTCTCCATAAAAAAAAAAAAAGAAGGAATAAAATCCTGATATACTCTACACCATGGGTGCACCTTGAAGACATTATGCTAAGTGAAATAGAAAGTAGAATAGTGGTTACCAGGGACTGGGGGAAAGGGAGTGGGGAGTTGTTTGAAGGGTACCGTCGTTTAAAAGTAAGATGAAAAGTTTTGGAAATGGAGAGTAGTGATGGTTATACAACACTATGACTGTGCTTAATGCCACTGAAATTACACCTGAAAATGGCCCAAATGGTAAATCTATATATGTATATTTTACCACATACATATGCACAAAATGTTAACAGAAACACCAAAAGTGAATCTTGTGCAAGGTCACACAGCCAACACTAGACCCAGGATAAAAAATGAAATATTCTTATTCAGAGTCTAAGCTCCTAAGCACTTTGCAGTTCTCTTTACTATAATGGTCTCTTTTTTTAAATTTTTTTGAGAGGTTTTTGCTATAGGGCGCATGTACTCGCCAGAAAGACAGAGAGACAGAAAGCGAGAACTCACCCCCCAGGGGGGATGGCCATGCCGCAATCCCTTCTCCTCCATTCTCCTCTCGGGGTCTTGGACATGCATGTACACGCGCCTGGCATGAGTTTAAGCCACCGGGTCCGGGACTTGAACCATGGTCGACTACATGGGAGTCCAGCAACGTAGCCATTACGGCAACCGCTGGTCCCACTATAATGGTATCTTAGTTGATATTCTGCCCTCCTGTGATCTCTACCCATTTTGCATACCAGTGGTAGAGTAATCATCCCAGGCAGATGTAGCAGGGAGGCAGGGGATCACTTACTTCTCACATACAGCTTGACGGGGTCACTTGGGTTGAAACTGACCGAGTTTGAGACTGCGCACTGATACTCCCCTTCATCTTCCTTCTTGACAGGGTCTATGGTGAGGATGCTATTGTCCGGGGACAGCGTCATCCTATCTTTTATGATCACCAGACTCTTATTATTCTTCAACCACGTGGTGGAGAAGGTTCCGTTGTAATTTGAGACACAGGTCAGGACCACAGAGTCCTCTTCTGTCACTGTAGTGTTGCTGATATTGAGGGAGGGCTTTGGTACAGGCTCTGTGGACAAACAGAGGAGGTGACTGGCTAAGAGTGAGCCCGGGGCCTGAGCCTTGCCCCTTCCTCAGAGAGGCCAGCCAACACTCAGTGAGCTGTGTAATGGTGGCCAGAGTGTGATCCTGACCCAGTGCAGAAGTTGAGTGTCCAGGTGGCCATCTATAAGGAGAGGATTGCACTTCACTTCTGACCCCAGATTGTACCAAGCTAACCCTGGCCTGGTCCCCTGAACATCTCTGTAGTGTCAGCACCGAGAACCTCTTCAAAGCTCATGGGTACAGCAACCTCATTGTCACCTGTGATGTTTCACCCGTTGACTTTGGTGTGACTTTTTCCTGCAGCTTTCTCCAACTATAAAAGACCAGGAACCATCCCCAGGGTGGAGCTTTCTATACAGGAGGGAAGGTATTGCTATTCCTTTTCATTAAACAATTTGTTAGGAAATGAGGATGGCTCAGCCTGTCCTCCTGACCTTAAGACCTGGTGAAGTTCCGATCATAAGGATTTTCCAATCTGAAAAGGACTTTCACTTTCTCATCTCTGTATTAAATATTATGGTGAAGAAATCTATAGAGAGAATTGGTCTTAGTTTTAACAAAATGCTGGGACTCTCTCACCCTTTCTATTGGGTCGTTGGAAAAGTCATGACCTATTTTTCTGTTTTTCTGTGCAAGAATGTGTCATGACTTTTCTTTCTTTTTTTTGGGAGAGATTTTCGCTATAGGATGCGTGCGCTCGCCAGAGAGAGACATAGAGACAGAAAGTGAGAAATCACCCCCCAGGGGGGATGGTCACGCCGCAGTCACTTCTCCTCCATTCTCCTCTTGGGATCTTGGGCACGCATGCACATGTGCTCGGC